TCAAAAAAAAACACACACAAAAAAAAAGGAGGGAGAGAAAAAGAAAGGAATGCACATCTGGGCTAAATATTTGTTAGAAAGTATTCCCAGGATAGTGGGAGTTCTGGTGCCAGAGAGGAATTCCTGCGGGTTTGATCCATTGCATTATGTACTTGTTCCAAAAGCTGTTTTCAGTAGAATAGATGAGTAAGAAGTCTTAGCCAAGAACAGAATGTCTTTTTTGGCAACTAAAAGGAAGATAGGATTATTTTATTTCAGGTTATGTAAAAAAAAAAAAAAAAAAAAAAAGGTGGTAAAATCCTGCGCTTGGTAGTGCCTGCAGAGATTTGCAATGGCAAGCACGGAGAGAGAGATAGATTCTGTTTTTTTTTTTTTCATGCTGCTGTGCACATTTCTGTGACTTCTTTGTAAGACATCAATGTGGATTTAAGATTACTTGCGGAATTACTGCAATTAAAATATCCTCACTGTTTCTGAATTGGCCTCCGGGTTTTTTTGGCTGAGCGGCCAGCGGTTTCAGCGACAGGGCTTTCAAGGCAGCGTCCAAATCGCTGGCGTGAATTCTGCTCCCAGGTGCCAGGGCGAGGAGGGGATGGTCTTTGCCTTGACAGCAAAACCCCTGTCTGGAGGATTATTTTTTTGTGTGTGTGGGTGGATACCAGTAGACACGGATGGGTGCAGCCCCACTACAGCCCGTGTAGCTCCTGAGAAGGATTTGAAAACTTGACGTGGAAAACGTCACGGCCGTAAATCAGCAAAGAGGGGGAAGGCGTTATGGGGGAAAATGAATGTGTTTGGCTGGTGGGCAACAGGTTCACCAGCTTTTTCCCATTAATTGAGAATCATGTTTGCACGACACCTACTCTGCGTTAACAAAACAATAGGTGTTTGGAATAACACAGCATGCCAGAGGTGCTTTTTTTTTTTTTTTTTCCTATGCATTTGGCGTATTCTGATAGATGGGAGGTGCACACGCCTCCCTTCATCCTTCTGCCAGACGTGGCTAATCAGTGATGATAGTATTTTTAAAAATAAATAAATAAAATTGCACCACCTTACACACAGCTTGCCTTGGCTCTGGCTTGGTGTTTGTGTTAATTCGGTTAGCTGGCTTGAGGAAAAACGCTTCGGGTTTTCCTGCTGTGGGGTTTGGGGGGAGGCGATGCAGCCCGTGGCGGGCGCTGCTGAGTTTGCAGGCGACCTGAGCACCAGGGCTGCGTCGCTGTGCAGCATCGCGATGTCCACCCTCTCGCTTCTCTGAGAGCCCTGCAGACCAGGTAGATCCTGGTAGAAATGGATGCCACACAGGGTTGGGGTTTGTTTTTTGTTTTTTTGTGGGTTTTTTTTGGGCCAGACCTGGGATTTATCGCTGTTTCAGCAGTGTGATCTTGGCTGCTCCTCCACCTTCCCGCGAGGCTTGGATGTGGTCCACATCGCATCTCTGAGGGCGTTTGCCGTTGGGCATGTGTCCTACGGGCTTTTTGGGGAGCTGGTTTCTCCCTCCCTTGGCTGGACAGTGGCACGCTTCACCGGCAGCATCGGAGGTGTCCTTTGGAGCAGCGAGCAGTTGCTCTATGACATGAACTGATGGTCTTTCAAGCCATGTGTGGGACTTTTTTTTTTTTTTTTTTCTTTTTTTTCCAGTTTTTGGCCTCCCCAGGTGGATGATGGGGTCAGCTGGGATGAGCAAACCTCTGGCTGTAGCCCAGGTTTTGATTCAGACCCCCGCCATGGATTTGGAGGGTTTCTTTGCTCCTGGTTGTTTCTTAAAGCAAATGGGAGACAGAGCAGAAGGCACCAAAAAAACCCAGTTTGTAAATGCAGCCAGGTGACTGGTTTGGGTGTCGTGGCTGCCTGCAAGCTCTGCTTTGCTGGGGCGCAGGCAGGAAAGGGGTTAACCCAGGTGTCAGGTAGGACATGTGCTGCTGGGGCTGGAGGGTGGCCAAATCCACCTTCTCCCCATCTGTTTTGGATAAAGGCCAGAAAACCCAACAACCCCTTTGTGGCAAAACCACCTGCAGCTCCAGGGAGGAGGAGGAGGGATGGAGGGGATCTCTCCCTGGCCCCCAGGTTCAGGGGGCCGTGGGGGATGTAGGCGCATGTCGCAGTGAATGATTAACTTCTTCAGGCTGAGGAACTGCTTCATCCAGGGATTTTTTTGACCTTTTAGGGGACTATTGTCTCCTGGGAAGCTGTTGATAAACATAATTAACGGGGGGCTGGGGCAGGGCTTTGAAGGCCCCCATGTGTGCTCCCCTCCTGATCTGTGTTATGCTGTCGAGATTCTGAAAATCCCAGCGCTGGGAGGGTTTGAAGCCCGTGTGGTTTCTGTGCTGCCTGCTCAGCGCTGGCAGGAGGGCAGGTTGAGTGGTGGTTTGGGTTTTGTTTTTTGGGTTTTTTTCTTCTTTTTCAGAGCCTTAAAATTAACTTCAGACATGCAAAAGAGGGTGAGAAAGTGCTACGGTTACAAAGAACAAATTTGGCGGGTTGAGGAGTTTCAGCTGGTGGGAGGGGATGGGGACTGGGTACCTGGTACCCCTGTATCTGCACTTTCACTGTCCCAGGGCTGCATGTGCCTGTCCCAGCATCATCCGACTTTTATGGATGCTTTAGGTTTTGTGTATTACCTCTGGGCTTATTGAAGCCCATGATGCTGGGGCTCTCCCCCCCCCTCACCTTGCTGGAGGGAGTTTCTGGGCTGGGGCTACATCTTGCTGTTGTGCCTTACAGCCCAGTGGGATGGGGTCAAAGCAAGTCACTCCTCCAGCAGCAGCCTGGTTCTCAGCTTTGGGTATGGCTCACTGGCTTCAAAATAAGCTGGCAGTGACTTCTGCAGAAGCAGGGGCATCTGGTGTTGCTAGTCTGTAAAAGGAGAAACTGTCCGTTGTCTGTGCAAGAGCATCCCACGTTAGGTGGGCTCTGATATCCCTGGAGGCACAGTGTATAGGTTTTACGCAATTTCAGGAGACGAAAACCCACAAACTTAACGAAAGCAAAGGTTAAAAGATGCAACAGTTATTTTTTCTTTTTTTCTTTGAGATGAGCAGGGGAAAAACATGCAGGAAATTTAGGAATCTAGGCAAGTACAGAGCTCCTTTGTTTTTAATTAGCTGCGTTGTTTTTAATTGCTACTATGCTTGATACATAACCCAGCCTAAACAAGAATAGCTTATTGAATGGGGGACTGACTATGAAAGGCACCGTGAGGAGAAGGGCTGTTCTTCACAGTTGATATATTTGTATTTCAGTGCTTCATTTAATAAGTCTGTTTCCCCAGGGGGCTGTAGCAAGTAAATCATGCCAACAGATTGTTCTCTACAAACTGGCTTATTTTTGTAATTAGCAAGACGTTAAAGCTGTAACTGCATAGAAAGCGATCTCAGTAAGGAGTTAACATGAAAGAATTAGTAAGCAAAATGTAATACTTATCGTTTGATAACATTTGTGTTGATTGAATTGGTTTCCGGACAGTTTGTTGTCTGCGATAGTTGGGTTTTCTGCGGCATTGTAAAATGGGAGAGAAATTCAGCAGGTGTGCACAGGGAGGGCAGTAAAGTGTGGGTTTTTTTTTTTTTTGGGGGGGGCGGGGGGAACACTTTTTGGGGATCATACCTGCATGGCCAGGTGGACCTGGTGGAGAAGCCCTGCTGGGGGTTAAAGCCATCTTGCTCATCACCGGGAACTGCCAGTATTTCCCTCGCTTTATTTTGCTTTTCTCCTTTGTTTTCCAGTTATATGAAAAATACAGAGTCACCATGAGCGGAGTATTGAAAAGGAAGTATGAAGAGCTGGGGGATGACAGTACCTACTGCTCCTCCTCCTCCTGCTCCCCCCTCTCCTCCTCGGCGTCCTCAGGCTGGGAGTCGGATGAGGAGAGCTCCCGTGGAGAGCCCAAGCCCAGCTCTGCCTTAACACCCAGCTTCACCCGTGAGTATCTCTGGCAGTCCCTTTCCTGGGATCAGGCATGCCTGTACACAGGGTTTTTGTAGTGTGGTGGTGGATCATCACCGTGCAGAGACCCTCGTGGAGCCCACCTTGGGTGGAAGCGGCCGTAACACCAGCTCCCTGTCGTTACACCACTTTATCTTGGTTTTATGATCAGCCAGCATCCTCAGGGTAGTCTTTCTCAGCCCTCCCTCCCAGCACTGATTGTTCCTTTATAATGTTTTTGCTGAAGTCCAGATTTCTGGGAATAACGATGCTAGGACCTGGGTGGGCAGAGGGGTGCAGGTGCCTCCGAGCCAGTGCTGTAGGACCACCCCTCCATCCCTCAGTCCTCTGGCAAACTATTGCATAGGCAAAAACTAAACAGACAGTAAAGGCCCATAACACTGGTTTTTAAAAATGATTAACCAGCAGCGTAATTACCGTTTCAGAACTTGTTTCCTACGTAAGTTGGGTACTTTGCCAAAGAACATGACACGTTTGACATTGCCTCTGCTGTTAGTACAGATAAATGCTGTTTTGTTTTCCCAGCAATATCAGTTTTGAGAGCTTTTAGGAAAACACACAGAAGACGAGGTTGTAAAATCTTTTATCTGCCATGCGAAGGGAAAAGTAAAAAATACAATAGGGGAACATCTTCATGGAGGAGAAATAGTCCAACCTAGTAAATTATACTGAACACCCACTGTATATAGCAGTTAAGGTCCACTTAGCAGACATACACAAACACGCAGTGGTCTGAAAAGGCTTTAGAAGTCTTGTAATAATAAAGAGTCTCATTCTTGCTTGTCTTCCCAGGTTTTGTGACAAAACAATGAACTTTTTGTATTCTCTGGCTCAATTGGAAAAGGGTCAGGAATGGGAAAACAATTTCAGAGGAGGGGTGCGGGGAGAGAGAAGCAAATGCCAAAGTGCAGCAGCTCAGCCGATAGATGATTGCGGTGGTTAACTTGCCTTTTGATAAAGAGCTAATGTTTTAGAAGATTGAGTCAAGGTTATTATGAAAATGCAACGCACAGTGCAAAGATATCATCAAAGCGACTGCAGAGCCCAGTGTGAAACCCTCAGCTATTTAGCAGAAGCTGCTGACACAGCTGGGTGAACACTTTTTCTTTTTTTTTTTTTTTTTCTTTTCTTTCCATATGAAACTGAAATGCTATATTTTGCCAAGCGAGACTTGTGAAATGTAGGTGCAGCTAACTGTCCAGTCTTGCACTTTCCCAGCCTTCGGGGCCAGCCGGGCCCCTGGGGTTTTCAGCAGTCCTGTGGGTTGGCTCCCTGCAGTGGGGCTGCCTGTGGCTCTGCTGTCAGAAGAGCGGGGCTCAGATCCCAGCTCTGCAGGAGTCACCCGTCCTTTCTGGGTTATTTTTTCCCATATTCTCCGTGGTGGCAACCAAGACATCCATGCACCAGCAGAGAATGGGACCGAAAAACCCCGTCATGGAGTATTTGTGTAGCTGGCTCTCGCTCCTGACATGCTCATGCAGCAGAAAAAGCAGCTCTGTAACCCTGTACCACTGCTTTTCCCTTGGCTTTCCACGGCCAGCCACGTTCGTGGAAACTCACTGACTCTGAAACTGCCCTGGCTAATTAGCCCACCTCCATCTGCTAGGTTTGCACGTGCAAATGTGCAGAACCAGGTATCTCTGGAGAGGCCCCGCTTTAAATGGTGTGTAGCATGTTTCAGCAGTTTAAGATAAACCAGAGTCATGTATTGCCATGTTTACCCTGGGATCACCTGCATAAAGATTAACATCTTTGCAGCTGCTCTCAGATGAGCCTCTTGAGAATAAACTATAGATTCATAGTTCCTCCCAGTGGATGGGGGAAGGAAGTACCAGAAAAACAGCCGTTTTGGCTGTTTGCTGCCCTGCCCCAAAAGCTGAAGCCACGCAGCACTGGAGTGTCAGTGCTCCGGCATCCTATGAGCAGACCACGAGCTCCTGAACATGGGGCAGGGTGCTTGGGTTTAGAGCAAGACAGGAGCGTAGGGTGGTTTGTTGCTTGTTTGTTATGCTCTGCTGCACGTGAAGAATAAGCAAATGTGTGTTTCCTGGAGGAGGTCAAGCGGGAAGAAGCAGCAGCCGTTTCTTAGGGTGAATCTTCTCAGTGACTCGAATGCATTAGGACTTGGCTTAGTTTCCTCTCCGTTCTCATCCCACCTTTGAAGTGTTAGATCCTAAAACTGATGGCCAGAAGCCATCAAGCGATGTTGTAACCTTGTCCCATCATGTCCCTGTTGAGAGAGTAACCGCAAGTCCTGCCCGTTTGTAATGTTTACAGCCTGTTTGTAATACTTCTGTCCTGTCTGCAGGATGGCAGTACTGACTTTGTGCCTTTTTTTTTTTCTTCCCCCGTTTTTAGCCACGTCTATCCTGAAGAAATCCAAGCGACTAAAGAAGAACAATGTGGAGTTTGACCGGGTCACTGTGTTTTACTTCCCACGCTGCCAGGGGTTCACGAGCGTGCCTAGTCGCGGGGGCTGTACCCTGGGGATGGTGAGCAAACACAGCTCCTCCCGGCAGTTCACGCTAGCAGAGTTTTCAAAGGAGCAGGAAAACGTTCGTCGGGAGAAACTCGAAGAGAAGCTAAAAGAGGAGAAGTTGGAAGCGTTGAAATGGAAGGTGAGTAGAAGCGTGGGGCTGGGTTGGTGAGGAGCTGGTTAGGTAGCGGCCACTCTTTAGTAGGAGGCTCTCTGAGACCCGGGGTCATCGGTCCTTAACCCTGTTTGGGTCTCCAAAACGCACAGGCTCCTGCGTGGGGTTTTCAGCTTTGTTCTCCGCCTTTGAAAAGTGATGGAAAAGATGCTGAACTCCCCATGTCAGGTGTCTTGTCAGCTCTTTGGGGGCTCTGACACGGATGTTGGTCCTGGGGTTGGCCACCGAGGGGGGCAGATCTTCCCTTTTTCTCCGACCTGGGGGTGCTGATGGCTCTGTCCCCCCAACAGATCCCCTGATGCTTTGCTCATTTTTTGCCCGTAGCTGACCATGAACGGCACGAAGGAATCGGAGGAGGCCAACCAGCTCACCATCGAAGACATCTCCGATGATGACATCGACGTCAGCAACGTGGACCTGGAGGATGGCTTCTTCCTCCAGCCCTACCCCGCCAAGAAGAGACGTGCGCTGCTGAAAGCCATGGGGGTGAAGAAGATCGACAAGGAGGAGAAGCGGGAGCTGCACAACATCCGCCTGTCCCGGGAGGACTGCGGCTGCGACTGCCGGGAGGTCTGCGACCCAGAGACCTGCAGCTGCAGCTTGGCAGGCATTAAATGTCAGGTACTGCCCTTGCCTCTGGACACGAGGGGAAAAGCCGCAGCTCCAGCTGGTGTATACGTTAAAGCAGGGGGTTTCGAGCAAGCAGGACGGAGCTAGGGCAGCCTGTAAAATGCATCCGTTCCCACCTGTGCTTGGAGTGAAGCAGGCGAGAAAAGCCCTTGGAGATGCTCTCCAGGCTGTGAGGCACCCGCTTCCCAAACCACGTGTGCAGCCGGCCCCGCGCTGCTGCTGCAGCCGTGGGGCTGTGCCCGAGCTCGCAGCGTGAGTGCGCCCACCCCATCCATCCCCGCGAGACTCCCGCCCGCCTGGTGCGGCGGGTGGAGGGAGATGGGCCACGTGGGAATGTCTTGGCAAGCGCAAGCTTCTTGCTCCTCACATGAGGCTGTGATTCCTCCTCCTCCCTCTGGTTTTATTTTTGCTTTCCCTTGGTGTCACAACTCCCAGCACACTTGGGCAAACGTGGGAGTGTCAGCTGAGCGGCAGCCCACAGCTAGCTGTGCAGACCACCTGCAAAGTGGGACAATCCCTTTATATTCAATCAGCTTATTATATATTTTTCGTTGTATTTTTTATGGGTGCCTGCCCAGCTGTGTTTGGGGAGCCACATTCCCTCTCCTGGGTGCCGCTCGCTCCCTTGATGCCATGGTTGCAGACTGGGGGTGGTGTAGGGTGGGTGTGCACAGGCAGATGGGCGCACACAGGCGGATGGGTGCTCCGTGTCGCAGGCCCCCTCTCGCGGCTGGTGTCAAGCGGGACATTAAGGTGCCGCAGGCGCCTGTTGAGCAATTTGTCCTTGGCGAGGGGCAGAAGCCCACGATATGGATCAGGCATTAAATATCATGATGCAATATATAAAAGCTCACGTTTGCCCCCTTATGTCTCCTCTTGGAGCATTGTGTTTTGCTTTTTTTGGAATCCTTTAACTTTCTTCAGTTGTACTGAAATCCAGCTTTTTTACAACAACCCTTCAAAAGAGCAGGGTGTTTTTTATTTTTATTATGGTTTTTTTCTCAGGCTGGTTTTAAAACCCCTCAGTTGCTACTTGGTTTCTCAGGGCGGGTGAGTCGCAGGCGGTTTTGATTTTGCGCCGCCGGGTTCGATCCTAACGCTCCACCTCTGCTTCTCCCCGTGCCAGATGGATCACACCTCCTTCCCCTGCGGCTGCACCAAGGACGGCTGTGGCAACACCGAGGGCAGGATCGAGTTCAACCAGGCCCGCGTGCAGACTCACTTCATCCACACCATCATGAAGCTGGAGCTGGAGAAGCAGCAGCAGAGCAGCGAGAAGGTGGCGGAGGCCGAGCCTTTGCGCCCCCCGCCGTTGGGATGCGCGGCGGGGAAGGGCTCCTTGGAGGAGCGCGCAGTGCCGCTGGCGCCCGCCTTCCAGTTCAGCCCCGACCTGGAAGCCCTGGGGGAGAACAGCTGCAGCAGCGACATGACAGACTCCTCCATCTCGTCCCACCCCAGCGAGGACCTGGAGGAGCCCTACGAGAGCCTCCCCTCCGACAAATCCCAGTCGGACGTGGACGACGACGGCTTGGCCCGCATCCTCCACTTCAACGACTCGGATGCCGAGGAAGAGGGTGGCCACAGCCAGGATGACCTGAGCTGCTTCCATCCTGCCGACTTCTTCATCGAGGACCACGGCGGTGAGGCCAAGCCTATCCCCGGCCACTTGTCCCACCTCTCCGAGTGCCTGGATGAGAATGCCAACCAGGACAGCGGGGGTTTGCTGGAGGACGCTGCCCACGCGCGGTGTGATGGGCTGTCCTGCTGCGCCTCGTCCCCGGCCGAGCCCTGCTCCAAGAGCTACGCCGACCTCAGCCTTTCCTCTGACTCCCTGGATTTCTTCCAGTCCTTCTCAGACTATAACTTGGGACCCCTTTACAACTCCTTAAAGGAGTACGAGAACCTCGATAACTTCTCAGCGTTACAGTTTCAGTTGCCTAATTTCCCTGGCTTCCCACAAGCCGGAGATCAGGGCTCCTGTTTCTTGGAGTCCCTCATCGGTTTGTCCGAATCCGTCCCTGAAACCCCAGCCCCTTTCACAGACAATCAACTTTTGGAGGACGCCATCAAGTCATCGCTGATGGAGACGGTGAAAGTGTGAAACGCCCGTGTGGCTCGGGCAGCAAGGACCGGCGCCGAAAGGAACGCTGATAAACAGTCAGATGGGCGAACTTTCACTGAAAGGATGATGCGCTACACAAAAATAAGGAGGAAAAAAAAAAAAAGACTTTCTAAGCAAACGAACTATTTTTGGTCTTTATAGAACGTGGACGTTTTGACATACTGCAGCTACAATCAGTTCTCTCGCTGTTTGTGCAAAAATTTCTAAACTTTCATGGTGGGGTGGGGTGGGGAGGGAGGGGAAAAAGACTTTCACGTATGAATTTCCTTGTGTTTTATATGAAAAGACCTGTTGAGAAATACTCCTCGCTAACGGTGCCAGTCGTACACACAGCCCCTTCTAGAAACGTTTCAGTGTTGCAGGAACTTTTTAAGACAACTTTTTGAAGCTGTATTTATTGTGAAAATTTGTCGTTTGCGTAAGAGTTAGCCCAACACGCTCTTACGTTTAAATCGGACAAGGTTTACAGAAGAGATCCATACACTATATACATAATCATTCTTCATCTATTTATTGCAAATTCCAGAATTTAACTAGCCACCGAAGCTTGAACTAGCGTGAAACCTTATTTAAATTGGTAATACCTCAGATGTATTATGTGTACAATCATATTTTTTTTGCATAATATATCTGTATTTATTTATTTTCTACCTGTAGTCCATGAATAGCACTGTGGTTTATCAGTGACCTGGAAGGGCAATAAGGTCTTCAGCAGCACCCATCCTAAAGACAACCCTGGTTTTTCTGAGTCTGAAAGATGTTGGCTGTTTGGTCTTCACCTCACGTTTCTGAGAGAGCCGAATGCAAGCGAAAGGGAGGGATGAGGGAAACGTTTGTGCAACGTCCTTTGGTGTCGATCAGCCCTCTAGCAGACATGATGGTGGTGTCTGATCTCTGTAGATATCACGGAGATACGCTGTGGAGAGCCAAACAAGCAAAACCTGCAGCTATTCAAGAAATAACATGAACTAGCTCTATTTAAACAACAAAAAAAAACCCCACCCCAAATCCCTTTTCATAAATTATTTTGTAATTTATTTAATTTTCCGAAGGATGTGGCCATGAGATCTTTCCCGATCAGTTATGGTGCCTGAATATGCAGAGGAACTGTTAGCAGCGGTGGGGGGGCTGTAACGAGAAGGACCTTTGCAGCCCTGGGGGGATTTTGGGAGAGCAAAGCCAACAACAGCAACACTGTGCTCACGCTCAGCAAGTGCTCCTTAGGACTCCCCAGCATCGAGGGTACTGCAGCTCCAAGCTCTAGTGGGTCAGACTGTTTATACTAATTTTTTTTTTAATAGGTAAATCAGGTAAATCAAGTGAAATAGGTGGATAGGAAGGTTATTGTTTTATTTATCCTTTGAGTATGGTTTTAGAGGGAAGGAAAAATAACACCTGAAAGCAAAGCTGAAAAAACTTGCAGGCTTTTGGTTTTTAAAATGAGAGAAATCATCGTGTTTAGGAAGGATATTGGAGGCCCTCTTGGCCTTCTGCTATTTAAATCAGTCTGAGAACATGACACTATTTGGTCACGAGATGTAACTGGACATACAATCTGTACGTCAGTGATACACTAAGTGCCTACGCCAGCCGTATGGAAAAAAACCCACAACAAACGGCTTTAAAACCTACTGGATTTAAATCCCCCCTTGGAAACGGTGAGATGGGGTGATGGGAGTGATTCCTGGCATTAGGGCACCGGGGAGAGGCAGCAGTTCTGGCATCCCAGCCCCGCTGCCCTGGGAGCAGGGTGCTGGTGGGAGCTCCTGGGAGCGTGGAGACACCCAGATGGGGGGAAAAAAAACCCCAATATATGGATTTGAGGATTTTTTCCATTGGCTGAACTGTTTATATCCCTGATGACAGGGATGATGCTCTTGGGTACCTGCTGTTCGACAGGCGCCTCAGGCAAACCTGCCGGCAATTTGAGAAACTTCTGGCGTACGAATATGGCGAAGGCTGGGTTGGTTGGGGGGTTTTAATCATTATTATTACTATTTAATAGTGCATCTTCCCTGGTATTGAGCCGGTCAGCTTGGAAGCAGAGCTGACCTGCTGCGGCCACGAGCGGGCGCTTGTCCCACGCTCGCCTCCAGGGAC